CAGCCTCCTCTTCTTCCTACCAGAGGAAAATTTGGTTTCCTAAAGCACTACATTAAATTTCTCGTGTAGAAGCTGTTAAAGAAATTCTGTCCTGTTATGCTGGGAAACAAATTCTAGCAGGGAGGGACTGGCTTATCTGGTGTGAATGCAGGCTTCCAAAACTGGGACACTGCCAGGGCTGTGTGGCTGACAGACAGCATTAAGTGCAATTTTAACTTCTGTGTTGCTTTCTTCTATTTCCTCCTTCTCCCAACACATCTTACTTATTGTGTCTAACAGGACTGAATGTCATATTTATTTCTGTTCCTTTCTCTCCATGTTAAGTTCGCTGCTTCAGACTACTGCCCTTTTATTATTTCTCTTCAGATTTTTTCTTGTGTTTCTATCTGAATGTGCAGTTCTATTTGATATTTTTTTGTTTAATTTTGCTCTTTGTTTATTTTTACTTTATCCCTGATAACGTTCACCACTCATATTTACTTCACTAGGCTGACTCTTTTATGACAGCTCAAATTTTATCACAATGATTTGAAATTATAAATGAATTTGTTTAGTAAAGTGGAAACTGCATTTTAAAAGATGGAGAAAGAACAAGTTTTATATAATTTACTCTTTCAATTTCAAGTTTTATTCATGTCCTTTGTATTTCACAAAAGTTAAGTATTTTGCATATATCCTTGATAATATATTAAATGTGATGGCAATCATGTAGACAAACAACTTTTATAATTTAATGAAAGAAATTAATATGGACTCAATAAATATTTTAAAGAGTTAAGTTGATATATCAGTTGCCTCAAAGAAACTGTGCCATGGGACTGACTGACTGCTGTTCTCTTACGGAAATTCTGAACACTTGCAATACCCTCAACTTGGCGTCTCTTAAAAAGCAACATTCCAAAAAACAACTTTGCAATATTTATACAAAAAAAGGGTAGATGAGCAAGTGCACTAAAATACTTCAGGAAATACATGGTATCGTAAATACAGGGGAACTTTTATGGACAGATCTTTAATATACAAAGTTCTCAAAAGTGGGGCCTTTCCATTTCAATACCTGAAGGTTTCTGATGACTTTGTAAATATGGGCTTATCTATTTTGCATTTAAATAAATATGAATAAAATATTGTATATGTGCAAGATAAAAATCAGTCTACTGATGTAAAAAGAATCTGCAAAGAATTTATTAAATTATTTCTTAGTGTATCATCTAAATGTAAACCTCTGAACAATAAAGTGTACTGTATGTTACTGTATGTATATACTGTATATTAGAAAGTAAGCACAAGTTAAGTGCCATTATTAACAGTGTTATTTTCTCACAAAATTAAACTTAGTATTTGAGTTGATCTCCGGCTTATAGCCCTCTTGCTGAAGAGCCAATTAAGTCAAATCAATAAACTAACAAAAACGTTCATCTCTGCTTCTGCTTACGTTATTAACAAAGCTAGTTCCAGCCAGGTTCTTGTTGACTGATCTAGTACAGATCCTCGTTTCACAAGTTTCCGTTTGAGAACCAAACTGAGGTGGTCTCTGAAGAGGTAATGTCCAGTTAATGAAAGAAAGCAATCAACCACTAGAAAATTTCTGTCTCTACTTAAAATGAGGAGTCAGAGTCTTCTGTATTATGTCATAAAACTATAGAAACTGACTTTTGCAAAGCTTCACAAGGGAAGAAATGACTCGTAAGATATTCTTAATAAAATACCTAAGTGCTAAAGTCTATCTGGTCAGTAAGTGACTTTTTTGGCCTTCTTGATAAAAACCCAACTGTAGATAAGGTTAAACCAGTGTTGCGTCACTGAATTAAACCATCACAAACTACATGACTTGAATGTCAAATCAGGCATACTGAATTATTAGTTTTTCCAGATCACAATTTTGACATCATTCAAATCTTCATTATTTATCAGCGTGAAGTTGGCTGGGAAGAACAGTAAAAAGAAACCTCCCAAAACAAAATGAAACTACCATCCCTCCACCCTGTCAAACTACAACTGTTCTCAGCATAAAGAATCCGGCAACTAAAAGGATGGACTAATATAGCACCACAAAAATACAAGGTTAGTGATGAATGTATACATTGCCCATGTCCTTGTCATATCATCTCTGCGCTGCCACAGATGAGACACAGAAATCAACTCCCTGCAGAACTTCTCTTGGTTCCCTGAACAACGTAGATGCAACAATGTACACCTTTGACGCCGCAAAGACAATTTAGCTCTAAGAGTTTTAACATCCCTGATAATATATTTACTGCAGTAGCCACTGCATATGATCAAAATTATCAGTCACCATGAATCAATTAATTTACACTGCATATATGAAAATACTTCTGTGGTTACACATTCAAAATCATTAATTAGTTCCTTTTAAATTGTCTGTAAAGTGTATGCTGACAGCAAGTAAAGTAATTATTTAAAATGGTTATTGGTGAATTACTAAAAACAAACAAACTTGAATATCTTAGGAATCCATTCCATAAGAGCAAAACAGTCTGAGACTGCAAAACAGTCTGAGACAAGCGTTCCATCTCAGTGAAAATAAATGGAAAGAACTGTGAAAATAGGAATTATAGTATTAGGCCATTCTATTAAAGCCCAGTATCTCACAAGAAGTCTTTACTTCCATACAATGGTTTAAAGACCATTTTTCACTCCTCTAAATTGGAGAGCCAGTATTTCTAAACAATCACAGTGAGCATAATTTTCTGATGCTTCATTCCTTAGAACATTCTATGATATAACCATTATACTTTAAAAGGCGGTGTTTTTCATCTGGACAAGTCCAATCCCTTTTATACAAAATAGACTTGGAGTATCTGAAATGAAAATGCAGCTCATTAATAAGCAGCAAGTTAACTAGCCTACAGTTTTGCAAAGGACGCACTTGAACATAAATGCAAGTAAACTCAACTGATCAGGTACCGCCACTCAAATCAATGGGTTTGCACTGCTACAAAACAGGTCAACATGGCATCAGAATCAGCCCTTTTCCATCGATATAAAGATTTCACTGAAGACAACCATATTTTGGAGCAGTCACAGAGAATACGTATTTAACTGTATCATGTAACAGGAAAATAGGCACCAACGTTGACAAGAAAATATGACACCTATACCAGAGAATTCAAGGAATGTAGCTTTTGTTTTTAAACCGAGATTCAATTAAACTGGTCTTGTGCTATGGGTAAGTACATAATTGACAAAGTTTCTTATTTTTTATTAAAAATGAAAGCAGTAGAGTGGTCAGGCTGGAGACCTCCTTTTCACTAGCTCTATTGCAGCTGCACAGGATCAGTAACAGAAAATAAAAGCAGCATTTGGCTCCTAAGTCTCAGTTCTAGTCTCAGTTCTTCTGTTAACTGAAGACTTTTAAAACTATTGACTTTTGCCTAAGTTTCTGCAACTGTGAAGTGCTCAACACACCAATGAATCTGAAACATAGGTGCTGAGATTAATTTTTGCAGGTTTTTAGTAAGTGAAACCTCATGTATTTCTGACTATATCATACAATATTTTTCCTAAGTGAAAGCAATTTAAATGTACAAAAACAGCTGTGCAGACTACCATGGCAACAAATTTGAAGTGTGAAGTGTTTCCTCTGTTTTACTTCCTTTAGCTTTCTGTTATGTACCAGAACACTTTGCCATATTCTGCATACACTATTTTTCCATCAGGAGAAAGGACAATGTGTTATCTATTTTGTCATTCCACTTGCTTTCCCCCAAGCTTTTTTCCTACAGTCCATGTGATTT